CCCAGTGCAGACATCCCTTTGACAGCTGCATCGAAGGCCATTGCAGTGCTTTCTTTGCAACAGCTGCAGACAACAGCTGTTTCATTTAGCAGTACCTTTACGGGGGGGGGAGGGGGGACCGGGTTAGCTAAGGCAGCCATTCCGATGATAAGAACACCGGCATGGCATCTTTGAACGAGTCTTTTTCGCTTCACGTGTTGATTCCAACACCCCCATCTAGTGCTTCGACTTAGGAGTCACTCGTTTGGTTGGAATGTTTCTCCACACACCGTGTGGGACCTGAGAAAGCTATTTACATCCTTCAAAACAGTCGGGATGGAGAAGAGCAAAAAAAAAACAACCCCTCAGAATGGCAACTTCCTCCATGTTGGAAGACTGTTGGCTCTCAAGACGACAAAATGGATGGAGATGGGAACTCGGCAGCCGGTGACAGACAGGTGGTCGTGCTATACCTGTTGTATTTTTAGCTGTGGAGCTAGGGAAACAAAACCAGTGAACATGAGATCCATCTGGCAATTAGCTTAAAAAAAAAAAAGCAAAGTTAGGAGATGGTTGACGTCCAACAAGAAATGGAATTCGTCCAGATCACCCAAGGCCATTCCCTAGTCTGAATAAGAGCACTGCATACATACATATATAGACACGCATTCCCTTCTGTTCCACTTGAAGGAAAAAAACACCCCTCCTTATCATAAAACAACCGATAAATGCAGAACCACATTCCTTCGCATACACGGGCCTTGTCTTTGCGTGCCAAAACTGGTCCTGAGTAGATATCATCCTGCTTTAGTCAGTATCCCCGAGCCAGATCTTCTTCAGTAGCCATAGATGTCATTTTCGACCCAAGCGGACTCCTTGCTTCGCCCTACTCTGTCGTTGCACAGCTCGTATATATCGTTGGTGACAAAACCGCTTTCCGTGCTGGCCAACGTCACAAAGCCGCTTTCTGAGGTATTGACGGCCATATTGTCATAGTCTCCGGAGAGGTCGTCGGGAGCGTCGTCTCCCAAACGGCCCCGGAATGAAGAGTTCTTAATGTCTGGTCTGGTCCCGCCTAGATCGGCTTCCGATTGTTTTCTAATGACGTTGTATATCTCCAAACTGGGGCTGGTCTGCCTGTGGGGAGACAGCCAGGTGTCCTGACCCTTTATATTTGCTTCCGTCTGCTCCCGTCTCCTTCGAGTGGAAAGAAAGAAAACATATTAACTTCCCTGGAGGAGAGGTGGACCACCGCTCCCCAACAAGAAACTAGTATAAATGGTGGCAATTCAAGAGAAAGATGTTATTAAAACATCTGAATTAGCTATTTTTGTTTATACATACGTTTGTCGCCAGAGGATGTAGTGATGGCACAGACAACTTTAAACGGGGATTAGACAAATCCATGGAGGAGAGGTCCATCAGTGGTTACTAGCCACTGTGACTATAGGGAACCTCCACATTCTGAGGCTCTAATCCGCTGAATCCCAAAGCCAGGACGCAACACCAGGGGAAGGCCTCAGCCTCTCTGCCCTGTTGTTGGCCATCCAGAGGAACCACTTGGCCCCTGTGTGAGACAGGAGGCTGGACTAGATGGACCAGGGTCTGACCCAGCAGGGCTCCTCTGATGTTCTTATCAGGGGAAGGCCTCGGCCTCTATGCCCTGTTGTTGGCTTTCCAGAGGAACTGGCTGGCCACTGTGTGTGAGACAGGAGGCTGGACTGGATGGACCCTCACTGGTCTGATCCAGCAGGGCTCTTCTGAGGTTCTTCTCAGGGGAAGGCCTCAGCCTCTCTGCCCTGTTTTTGACCCTCCAGAGGAACTGGTTGGCCGGTGGCCACTGTGTGAGGCAGGATGCTGGACTAGATGGACCCTTACTAGTCTGATCCAGCAGTGCTCTTCTGATGTTCTTATCAGGGGAAGGCCTCGGCCTCTATGCCCTGTTGTTGGCCCTCCAGAGGAACTGGTTGGCCACCGTGTGAGACGGGAGGCTGGACTGGATGGACCCTCAGTGGTCTGACTCAGCAGGGCTCTTCTGAAGTTCTTATCAGGGGAAGGCCTTGGCCTCTCTGCCCTGTTATTGGCCCTCCAGAGGAACTGGTTGGTCCCTGTGTGAGACAGGATGATGGACTAGAACAGAGGTCTGCAACCTGCGGCTCCGGAGCCGCATGC